CACTTCTCTCTCAAGATGTATTGCTCCATTCCAGTACAGTGTAAATATAGTAGGCCAATGACTTTCAGTTGATGTTAATGCACCGATCATACCTTTCATCGAAAGGGGGGGGGGCAGCTAGTTATGGATAAAACAAAACCAGAAAAACAATGTGCTCGAACACAAACCCAAGAACAAAATACAAAGAGAACGAGAGAGAGAGAGAGAGAGAGGGAGAGAGAGAGAGAGAGAGAGAAAGAGAGAGTAGTGGGAGGAGAAGGGAGGGAAAACAGGCAGACAGACAGACAGACAGACAGACAGACCGAAAGGGGGATGGGCATTAGGGAAGACATGAATTCCGTGCGTTGTTTGAGATGAACGTCTCTTGAAAACTGTTAAGTTATTATAGGCGCAGGTACGGAATAGAGAGAAGGGTGGAGGGAAATTATCAGTACAAAAAATAACTCCTACTCCTAAATATTTTTCCTCTTCTGTGATGAAGAGTCCAACCATTACACCACAGACACCGGTCCAGAAACAGAGTGAGAGAGATAGAGAGAGAGAGAGAGAGAGAGAGAGAGAGAGAGAGAGAGAGAGAGAGGGGGGGCGGTGGAGGCGGGGAGTGGGATAGGGAGAGAGGAAAATACATCGGTCTGTTAAGGAAACCGTTGATTTGTGGAAACTTTGGGAGGATCAGCTTGACAAGGAAGACATAAAGAGGTTTATAAATTAAAGCCAATAACAATTTTTTTTTAAATCCCACCTCGGATTGTCGATCATGGGCCAGATATCACAAACACCCAACTGTTTCTTCAACTTGGGAGCTGGTTGGTTGACCTTGCTGGTAAGATCCCAAATCCTAAGGGAGTTCTCTCCCTCAGCTCCTGTCATACAATAGCGGAAGTCGAGACACGCCCCCATGGTGGAGACGCACGGGTGTGTGGCCAGATGCTTGTGGTCTTCTGTCTCCAGGTTCCACAGGGCAATGTCTGACGTGTTGTTCCGGGCAGTGGCGCAGACGGCAATGGCGTGAGAGCCGATGAGGTTGACGAAGAAGCACCGTATGCTGTCATGGATACACCCACGGACGCTACGGATGTAGGTCCCACGTTTGGCGTCAAAGAGTTCCAGTGTGTGGATCTCATGGAGTGCCATGAACTGCTGTCTGCAGCATAGGATGAAATACTCACGGGAGATCGCCAGAGCCACGATGGAGGAAGATTTGTCGTGGCATTGGAGGGTTTTCATCATCTTTCCCGAGCGTGCATGCTGGACTGTGGCGAAGTTACCGCTCCGGAAAGCGTGTAGAACGTGCTCACCATAAGAAGAATCAGCGATGAGAATCGAGTTGTCCTTGTGCACGCTATTATCTGGAATCTCCGCTTCGCACAACAAGGAGAAATCATCGACACTCCAGCTCCGGAAAATGTTTGCGCCGCCAAACACACATGCCAGGACCTGTCCCTCGGCAGCTACAGATATACACGCAGGATCTGGGTACTCATCGATCGTGTACATACATTTCCCGGTTTTCAGGCTCCAAGCTTTGATAACTGACTTCTCAACAGTGAATGCCAGCGTGTTACTTTTGGCTGTGCGTATCGCGGACACCTCGGGACCAATTCCGTCGATTGATTTGACAACTTTCCCTGAGCGAATGTCCCAAAGCTTGATGGTCCCGTCTTTGGAAGAAGTCAGAGCCCTCATGCCGTCTGTGGTGAGAGCAAGGGCTGTGATAGGGTCAGAATGACCTGATAAAAGGTCAAAGAGAATGCCACCTGGCTCAGTTAGACATTCCACGGAAGGGATCAGAGCTGGGACGGATGAGTTCTTCGCCGCTGCCAGAAGAGGGTGAAGGTTGGGATACTTCTTCGGGTCACCAGGTGCACGTGGGTTGTCTGTTGTGATGATGCGGTAGAGCCGACCAATAATCTGAGATGCTAACTGCCGGGGTTCGCTCCTCAAGGCCTTGCCTGAAAGGTGAAGTACGTCTGACAAAAGTCTTAGCTCTGGCTCGTGCGGCTCAGCCATCAGTATTGTCTGGTACTCCTCAAAAAGTGCACGAAGCGACGTCCCGCATAATTTCGCTAGCATCCACTCAAAGTTACACAAGCATTCCTGCTTCAGTGTCGACGTTTGCTGGGCGCGTGTGAGGTGGAAAGGCAGCTCGTTGATTTTGCGTAGATTGTACAAGCGGTCAGATCCATCACCAAGGGAGTTCTCCGGCTCGAAAAAAAAGTTCTGCTCAGAGACAAGTCGGTCACTCCCTTTATCGTTACCAGAGTAGGGCTTTGCCTTCCCCGCCCACAAGCCAAGAAAATACTCCGCCAACGCTTTGTGGTACGAGGGTGCTTTGTCTCTCTGCACTAGATATCTCTCGTCAGACGCCTCCGAGATGGTAGAATGCGCCCACGTAATGGTTCTCGTGTCGTCTGCTCTGCTCTCGGAAATCAAATCCCTCATGTCTTCGCGGAGCCGTAGCCATAGTAACGTCGGAAGTCTCCGTCGTGGAGGCTTGTGGGTGGTCATCACGTCATCCATGACAGCCTCATCGAGTGAGAGAATGTCTTCCATTTCGTTGCTAGCGATGCCATTACGGGAGGCAGAGATGTAGCCCAGAGCTCTACGGACCAGAGGTTCCCCGTGGTCTCGCTCCAACCGGCCGAAGCGAAGAGTGGCAATCTTTTTCACGTTGTCTCCCAGTTTGATGAACTCTGACTTCATGTACGATGTCCATGACACTACTTCTGTAAACGCAAGCTGCAAAATAAAAATTAATTTATTATGTCAGCGTTTAACGCCCCTATCAACACATATCAACTAGATATTTTGGGGGCGAGATTCGACCCTGCCTGTCATGGTTAACCAGACAAATTCGGTTAAAGTTCTCCCAGCACGGAAATCAAACTCAGGTCTTTTGCTTGCGGCGCGGTGGCAAAACGCCTAACCGCTACACCACATGCAGATAAAATGAAAGAATAGATAGCGGTTAAATATATATTCAATGGATGGTATTGGTACAAGCATTCAGGAATTTTGCTATATTATATCGGTTTGGCGCCCCTTGTAAACGCTTGCTGTCTATCAGTGATAGAGGGTGTTCAACTCAATATCGCAGTCCCGTAGGACGTGCTATGGCTTGTTCACTTTCGTCAGGCAGCGTTAAAATAATCCTAGCTCAATGAGGAATCTACCAGTGCCCACGAAACATTGCATAGCACTTCTGCAGGCCAGCGACCAAACAAAAAAAAATGTTCAAAAACTCTTGACCCAGTACGGTAATTTTTTTATAAAAACTTTTTCTCTTTGGTCCCTTTATTAAAACCGCTCTTTGGAAGCATAAACAGGATCACTAAAATAAATGACTTACAGTAGCCTTGCCCCCTAATTGCTCATTTTGAGACACCGCCCTCCCCCCACATTTCTGTGAAAGCTTGTTGATTTCATCCCCTGGCTGACGTCTCCTCGTGCTCCATGTTAGTCATGAAAAATACTCACCCCGTCTCTTGAATCGTGTTTCTTAGACGAAAGTTAAATGACAATGACTATCTTTATTCGTCTCGCGAGGAGAAATTTGTCTTCGTTGTTAACAATAGCAGTAGACGATACAAAGATTAGGTACACAAGCATACGCACAACAAAACAACTCTCTCTCTCTCTCTCTCCCTCTCTCACCCTCTCTCCCTCTCTCCCTCTCTCTCCCTCCCTCCATTCATCCCTCCCTCCCTCCCTCCCTCCCTCCCTCTCTCTCT